TAAACAAGGTGCTTGATGAGCCAATAAAATGCCACTGGGCTGAAATCAGGGCAGTGATCAGCAGGTGTTACTGATAGCAACTATTAGGCAGGTGTGATATAAGTGGACCTGAAAAGTAAACACATTCCAGCAGAGGCAGGAGATTTACGCTTGTTTACCTGGTCTGGAGTTAGAAAAAAAGCAACCTGCCGTCCACTTCAGCAACATTTATTTATATAAAAGCTGTTCTGGAGTTTGTTTTCATGTGGATATATTCCCTTTATTTCACTTCGCTTTGGCTCTTTTGTCTGATCAATAATTATTAATCCCTTTGACTTTACAGTGATGGTGTGTATTTCCTGGTGACAGGGGGCTGTATAGACCTAAATCACTGCAAGCCAGCGGTATATTTGCATTCCAGTAAGCCCCTACCAACGGATGGCCATTAGGGTCAAAAATCTCTGGGACAAGCACATCAGACCTTCTTTCATCGCTGTAAGTCTCTCTAAGTGTTTTTCTCCCCAGAAGAAGCTACAACGATGTTCTGCTGAGCTGTGGTGGCCTCATGGAGGGGGCCATCGTCTAGCACACTGCTGCTAACCACTTAAACATTCTCCCTCTCCTGATAATAACTTTTTGTTTCCTTGACGTTGGATGTGCTACTACTAGTTTACCTGTTTGATTATAGATTCACTAGGATAAATACAATAAAGTTTATCTCTCGCCAAATAGAATATTTACTAAGAAATCACGGTGTAACCATAGAAACACTACTTGTGTGTGTGTGTGTGTGTGTGTGTGTGTGTGTGTGTGTGTGTGTGTGTGTGTGTGTGTGTGTGTGTGTGTGTGTGTGTGTGTGTGTGTGTGTGTGTGTGTGTGTGTGTGTGTGTTCTGTCTTCATCCCAGTGAGTCGTGGAGGATGGCTGCTTACACTGAGCCAGGATCCTCTGGAGGTTTCTTCCTGTTAAAAGGGAGTTTTCCTCTCCACTGTCGCTAAATGCTTGCTTAGTATGAGGATTGCTGTAAAGTCACTGACACTAGTCAGTGACTTGATACAACCTGCTGGGTTCCTTATAAAGGAAACTTTTTTTTTCTGATTGGCTTAATGAACTGACCTGTACTGGAATGTTTATTATGTGAAGTGCCTTGAGACGACTCTTGTCGTGATTTGGCGCTATATAAAAAAACTTGAATTGAATTGAATTAAATGCGCAAAGAGGTAAACATGTGAAACAACAACATTTGTGCTCGGTAAAACTTTTGTAAACATTTGTTACAAATCTGTAGATGTGTTTTATCCTCACGGGCTCCCGTAGAAGGAAACAGGGCATCGCCCAGAGGCCCTGCGTGTATTTTAGCCCCGATTTTTATGGTTTTATGTTACAAAGTCAACAACTGGGCATCATTTAAATAATTTTCAACAACATTTTCATTGAAACGCCCTGATATTAAAGGTAAAAACTACACATTGTCTCTTTAAGGGAGTTACGACGCTGGTCAGCGTGCCGTCCAATTACAGCTGAGAAAACTCCCAGGATGTGATCAGTAAACAATTAAAATAGGACTTGTGTTTAACCCACTGGAATGAGCCAGGCTAAAAACAGATCATGCTAAATCTGGAGAGCTTCATGAAGATGCCCGTGGATGAAGAGATGCAAGAAAATTCCGTTTCACTGAACGTTTTATTTTATCAGGACAAACTAAAGTCTGTTTTTGTTTAAAATAGCATCATCAAGTACAGAGTTTTCATTAAAGTAACATGATTGGAACTTTGCTGAACTTTTAGACGTTTGGAAGAAATTGCATTTGTAAAAAAAATCACTTGAATGCAGCCGAGGAAAATTCTCTGAAGAATGTTCCGACTCGGCTTCAGCCTAACTTCAATGACTTTTTGCGCCCTTCCTAAGAAGACAGAGCAGAACACCGACACGGCTTTAATTTCTCCTGAGAGAGCCAATTTGAACTGATCGCGTTTTCATGATGGAGGCGTCCTTCTGACAGGATCAGAACTCTTTCAGTCAACAGCTTTCCCAGATCAGCCACCTTTCCTTTTCCCTCCTCTTCTCTCTTTCAGGACTCGTCATGTTTCATGCTTTGGTCTTTTTTTTTTTTCGCTGACAAAACCTGTTGTTTTCAGTGACTTAACAAAGAAATATGATGTGATGAAGCCTCCACTGGATCGGTGCATTAACAAAGATGGAGCGCCGGCGTGGACCCAGAGGAGGAGAAACAGACCCATCTCACTGAGTGTGATGAATTTACTCACGGAGGGTATATTTGCTCTAACAAACACACTCATATGCTGTATAAAAGACACGGTGTCCAAAATTCTCAGTCCACTCCATTTTTCTGTCTTTCCTACTCTCTCGGTGCGTCTGCCCTTCAACTTCTCAAGCCTTTTGTTTCCTTTTACCCCTTTTTCTCTCATATTGTGCATTAAAAATCCACTCCACTCTCCAGTCCTCCCACCCACATCCACCCCCTTCGTTTTCGGAAAGCAGGAACGATACACTGGGTTTAAGCTAAATTCCTTGTCTGTCTCACTAATTGCTTGCTAAATGCATGATGGAAAAAATCATTTTCAGTCAGCGCTCGAGTGAAAGAGCTTTCAGCATTGTTCTGGTTGTCATGGCAACACAATTAGAAAGCCTCCAAGAACAAATGTGCACTCAGGATAGGAAGGTTTTAACGCAGGCATCTCTGCTGCCGCTCCCTTATTCTCGTCGTGTTTTAGTTTCTTCTTCTTTTAAATGTCTGATTTGTTTCTTCCTTTGGCGCCATTGTTGTTGTGATAGCTTTGTTTCAGAAATGAATTCCTTCAAACTCATAAAGGAAACGTACTTTTGTATCAAGGGAGAAAAAATACTCTGAGGAACTAAATTACACGCTGACAAGTTGTTGTTTTCTTACAGTCAATTAGTAAATGTGTAATTGACAACTCTGACAAAAGAAAACCAATCCTCTGAAGATGTTTGGTAGAAGATTAGTTTTACATTTGTTTTGTTGTTTCTGTATGATTTAAAACTGGAATGTGGGAAGTTTCTGCTAGTTTCTGCTCGCTAGTAAACAGCAAACAGCTACAAGCTCGACTCTCCCATACTCCAGGAGAACTGACGAAGCTCCCCAGATGAGAACCAAAACATCTTCAGGAAACCAAAGAAGTCCAGTTGCCTTAGCGGTTCCCATCGCCGCCATTTTGGCAGTGTCACTCATGTCGTATCTCCCGAAAATAGTAAACTAGAGCTGAGAGCGAGGCGGTGAGGGTGGGGGTAGATGATTGACACCCATAGAATTCTGAGCTAATGGAGCTACGTGCTAACTGAGTTAACCTGACGCTAACTGAGGTTGGTGAGCGCTGTTAGCCAAGAAAACCACTTTCTAGGCTGTAAAACTTAAAGAGCAAGTCACCCCCAAATCAACTTTTTTTTACTGATATAAATGCGTGTGCTGCAGATGTGTAGTCAATCGTTTTGCACTTTAGTGTGTAGCGTCATGAATGTCCTGTTTTTGACCTAGTCACTGAGAACTTGCTCCTTCCTGGAGCCTGCCCATTGTGGATGAGGGGGAACGGCAAATTGAGGGCATGCAAATTTAAAGGGGCGTCTTTGACTTTACAATCTTAAAGTAGCCTTCGTTAGAACAAACTGTTTCAACATTGGGCGACGGTGGCACAGGAGTTAAGAGCTCGCCCCGTAATTGGAAGGATGCAGGTTCGAGCCCCGCTCAGTCTGTCGCTGTCGTCGTGTCCATGGGCAAGACACTTAAACCCCCTTGCCTGCTGTTGGTGGTCGGAGGGACCGGTGGCGCCAGTGCTCAGCAGCCTCGCCTCTGTCAGTGTGCCCCAGGGCAGCTGTGGCTACACTGTAGCTCATCCCCACCAGTGTGTGAATGTGTGTGTGAATGGGTGAATGACTGATTGTGTTGTAAGGCACCTTGGGGGGTTCCAGGACTCTAGAAGGCGCTATATCGAATACAGGCCATTTACCATTTACCAACATTAATTTAAATTGAAAAGCGGGTTAGACACAGAACATTTGGCATTTGACATGCCAAGTTGCCTTTATTCAACCAAAACAAAGAGGAGACTCACCTCTTACGTCAGGAAGAAGCCGCGTGTGTCCTAGGACCACTTAAAGTGTTTAAAGCCAAGACCGAGGTGTGCTGCTGCTGTCTTAAAACATTCCCAGCCTTTTGTAAATTTCAGATTTTTTCCAAATGTCATTTACTGTCAGTTTCACATCACATTGTTATTTCAGCAGAAAGATTAACTCATTAAAGTCGTCATTTGCATTTGTTGAGGGTCTGACCTCATGAGGAAATTACTATGCAGTGATTTTCTCCAAAATGACTGTGCTTAAATTGCTTTGAAAAGCAAATAATCACATCAGCGCCAAGAAACTTCATTTCCCATGATGCTTTGCACACGGAAGCATTGTGATGACGTCACCGCCTACACTCTAAATAGTGTATTTCAGCAGTATTTGAAGTTACGTAAAGTTCTGAGTGAGTTTCATTAAGATTTCTGCTTTAGTGGAGCCAGTCTACATTTGTGGAGTATATCAACTTGTTATTACGTGTTGTTCCCTCAGTACACATGTAACCTGCTATTGTCATTAGAGTCAACCTGCATCAATTAGGTTTCTCGTGACGCAGTGCATCTGATGTCATGACGTCTCCGCCTTCTCCAGAATTTTCTCCCTGCGGCCGGTTGAGAACACCAATTTGAGAGGAAGTTGGCTGCATGCAGGACCTCGTGAACAATTTGGTCAATAAGGTAACAAAGATATTACTTTTTCCATGGTCCTTGAAGGTAAGTCAACTGTAGAACACATATTTTAATATATTAGATATAAAAATATTCCAACTGTATTGTTAAGTTTGTTAAGTGTTTAGTAAACTGACCTGACCAAACTGCTATCATTCAGCCCTGCTAACATTAGCGAAATGTCAGACCTGTTGGTAGTTTGTGCTTGGACATGTAGGTTAAGTTAGTCGTTTGCCGGCGGTACTCTCTTGTTTTAATATCGTAACGCTAGCTTAAAGTTGTGTATTCATGCAGTGTGTCGGTGTTGGCTTACTGTTAGTTATTCATTAGCATTAGCATATTATGGCGGCAAGCTGGGCCGCGGTTCTCTAAAGACTACGTTGCTTCGGGCGCGCGCATTTATACACGAGTGGTTGTTCGCAGTATGCCTGTCGGCGCGAATAGTTCATGCGGTCACGGCCACGGGTGATGTAGGAGGTAAAGTTTAGCTGTGGTGGCTCCAGGAAGCATGCATTTACTGCCGCTTGCATTGCTTTCAATGTACATGACGTTAAGAAGGCGAGGAGAAAGGGTGCGTGCAGCGCTCGTACACGCACGGATCAGCCGTGTGAGAGGGAGATGGTGTGCGGCAGAAAGTCAAAATTAGAAATCATAGAAGAACGTATTACGTTATTGAACACAGAAAATACAGCCATCAGATTTCTTGTAGACCTAGCACACTTCTGGTCTGTGTCTGAATACATATATAAGTACATAGAATAAGGGGTGTCAAACTTGCGGCCCGCGGGCCGGATCTGGCCCGCAAGCGGGTTAAATCCGGCCCGCAGGATGGTTGTGTAAACTTTATTTTCATACTTTACAATGTAGAGTGAAAATAAACTTATCTTTGTGAGCAAGTTTTCTCTGTAATGAGTATAAATAAAACAAAGCTGCGCTCAAGGCTCACACAAGAACTTGAATCACATCCTGAAGTTGGCTGCCACTCAGGATGTGACTTCTAATATTGATGTGCTGGTGAAAGCTAAAAGATGTAAAGTAAAATGAGTCAAATATACTTTAAGTGCTGCATGAATCTGGTCTAGCCATGTGATCTGTAAGCTCTTTGAATCACTAAGAGATGTTTTTTTTATTTATTGATTTTTTTTTTTCCAAATTTTCAAGTATACTTCAGGTGTTGTACAATTTTGGATACACTGTCCTCAGGCTCCAGCCTTGTTTTATATTGATTGTATTAAAACAAAGAAAAAACAATCTGAAGTTGTTTTTAATTTACCGGTCCGGCCCACTTGGGACTAGATTTCCCTCAATGTGGCTCCTGAGCTAAAATGAGCGTGACACCCCTGACATAGATGCAGATGAACACTGTAAACATAATGAAAGATCGACAGACTAACTCAAACATATCTTTAATCTTTAGGACTTTGGGTAGCACTTCCTTTCCTTCCTGTCAACCTCTCCAGAGGGGTGTCTGCTGATGGCAGAAAGATTACATCACCTCTGGTTGGAACCCTGGACAGTGCCACAACCTTTGGCTTGGTGTCCAATGTGATGCCCCATCGCCACCTTCTGACCTAACTTCTTCTCAGCTCTGTGACTACTTCAAGAGGGGCATTCCTGTGTGGAGGCGTGCCAGGCAGCTCGTTTTATCTGTGAACTTGCGTACTTTCACTTCATCAACAGCAAAGGTATGCAAGTTCAAAATAGTGATGTCTCATTTAAACTTAATTCAGTTTTACACTGAACAGGAATCTGCTTTATATATAAAACAATTCCAAAAAAAAGTACCTATGGGCATTTGGGTTTTGTTTTTAAACTTTTGTTTTGAACTTATCCCTTTAAAATCTAATTAGAGAGGGCTGGCTACATTTGATGAATACATTTTGTGTTTAAATGATTCGCTTTGTGTTGGGCAATGTGGCAAAAAGCTGAGATGAGATCTAGTCTCATATCACCATATTGATATATTGTAATATTGTCCAACTCTCCCTCGGTGTTTTTCTCAAATTATTTATATACACCCAGTAAAGCGTGTCTCTTTGTTTCTCCAGTGCTATGCTTCATGTGGAGATGCAAGGACTGTGGGACAACATTAACAAAAAGATCTGAATTGCTCAAACACTACAAACTGATTCATAGGCATTACGGACGAGGCCACTCATATCCATGCACTTATTTAAATTGTGCATGTAGGTTCAAGACTTGGAACGCCCTACTGAGCCATCTATCAAGAAATCACCCTGCCCAACAAGCAGTCTCCAAAGCTGCGTCCACATTCACTTGCCATATTTGTGGCCATAATCAACTCTCCACAGAAAGAGAATATTTTCAACATATCTATCAGCATCTTAAAAATAAGGAGACTGTAACATGTGTGTTCCAAAACTGTGAATATAAAACCAATGTCTATGAGAACTTCAAAAGTCATAAATACAGAAAACACTCTGGTACAGTGAACACATTTAAGCCTGGAATAAGTTCTGTTGATGAATCTTGTGCCAGTGTTGCCAGTGATATTTCAGATGTGGAAATTATAGAGAGTGATGTAAATTTAAATTCTGCTTTTGACAATGGGTATTCTGAAAACTTAGAGAATGATATTGAGCTTAAAATAGCTTCAGTGCTCCTTAAGTTGGAACACATCTTTCTTGTGTCTAATGCAGCTGTAGATGAGCTTTTGCAGGAGTTAAACTATTTGATTGGTTCTGTTTCTGTGGCGATTACCCAAAAGACTATTAGCCAAGTATTACAAGACAATGGATGCCAATTTGACCAGTCAGTTGTTGAAAAGCTAGCCAGTGTACTATGTGAGACAAACCCTGTAAAAAAAGCAATTGGACATAAAGGTCCACTTTCCACTCCTTGGAGGCGAAAAGCATACTATAAGAGCCACTTTAAAGTAGTGGAACCAGTGGAATATATACTTGACCGAAAAAATAACAAGTCATTCCAATATATTTCAATTTTAAAGTCTTTGCAGCATATTCTTGACTGCCAGACAATCTTAGATCAGGCTGTTAATTTGAATACTGTAGATAATCAGCCTCAAAAAACTTCTGTGCACTACAAAACTATCTTCGATGGTGACTTCTTCCATGAAAATGGATTGTTGTCCAAGCAGGAAAGCATTTCATTGATATTATACATTGATGAATTCGAAATATGTAATCCCCTTGGTACTTCAAGGAGGAAGCATAAAATTTGTGGATTGTACTGGGTTTTGGGTAATTTGCCACCAGGCTGTAATTCTGCTTTAACCTCAATCTATTTGGCTGCTTTAATCAAAAGCAATGATCTGAAGTGCTATGGGTATGAGAAAGTGTTAAAACCTGTAATTAATGATCTTGTAATTTTGGAACAGAGTGGGATATTTCTGTCAAAGTTGGGCAGAACAGTAAAAGGCACTGTTCAGTGTGTTGTTGCCGACAACCTTGGTGCACACAGTATTGCTGGATTCTTTGAAAATTTCTCAGGGACATACGTATGTAGATTTTGCACTGCAGAAACATCAGAGTTCCAGACTATTGAAGTCAGAAGTGAAGTCTTTACTTTAAGAACAAAAGACATTCATGCAGATCATTTACGAATTATTGAGGAAAACAAATTGCCCAGTTATTATGGTGTGAAATCAAAGTGCATTTTGTCAAAGCACCTCTCACATTTTGATGTTACCACTGGGTTTCCACCTGATGTTGTACATGATCTTTTTGAGGGAATTGTTCCTTTTGAACTTGCGCTTTGCCTCAATTTGTTAATCAAAAAAAAGTATTTCACATTATGTACATTGAATGAAGCAATATCATCTTTCATCTTTAAGTGGGCTGACAAAACAAATCGACCTCATCCTGTGGCTCTCAGTTTTGCATCCAAAAAAAGTGTAGGAGGGAATGCACACGAGAACTGGAGTCTTATCAGATTTTTGCCTTTGTTCATTGGGCAGAGTGTACCCTGTGAGGAGCCTGCTTGGCACATCTTAACAGACTTGAAGGACATTGTTGATCTTGTTGTCAGTCCTGTTCATACTGAGGACTCCATTGCATATCTCGGTTTTAAGATCTCTGAGCACAGAATCAAGTTTCAAGAGGTTTTCCCAGATGTTAATCTTAAACCAAAGCACCACTACTTGGAACATTATCCATACTTGATCCGTAAGTTTGGGCCACTGGTTGCACTATGGACTATGCGATTCGAAGCAAAGCATAGTTTTTTTAAAAGAGTTGCAAGGAACATCAGATGCTTCAAAAATGTACTTCTTTCCCTTTCACAGAGACATCAGTATCAGATTGCATATCATTTGCATGCAATTAGCTTTGCCAAACACCCACTGGAAGTAACAGCTGTTTCCACTGTTCACATTGATGTTCTTAACAAGGACATCTCAAATGCACTGAGACAGAAGTCTCCAGATATGGACAATGTGTGCTTGGCTAAAAGTGTAGCATATAATGGACTAATCTACAAGTGTGGGATGATCTTAATCCACGGCTCACTGGGAGGACTGCCAGAGTTTGGTGAAATCATCCAAATGGTGATCTTGCAGGACAAACTAATCTTCATTCTGAAGAAGCTTAGCGGATGGTATATGGAACACTACAGAGCTTATGATCTCAAAACATCACCAAGCAAAGAAGTGGAACTTGTTGAGCCACAAGAACTGTATGATACCTACCCACTGGCAGACTACAAAATTAGAGGGATGCGTCTTGTCACCTTGAAAAGATATGTCCATGTTTAAAGGGTGAGGCCTCAAAATATGATAAAGTATTTTCTTAAGTGGGAAAACAAAACCCAGACCAATACAATACTAATGTGTTCTCAGAACATATTTATTTTACACTGCAAGCCAAAGTTGTGCGATGATGTCATTGGCTATTCATCAGTTATGTCATTTTTTTAATGCAGGTTGCTAGATTCCAGTCAGTGAATGCTAATCCTATGCTCTCCCCCCTTCTGCTTCTCTTCTTTTTCTTCTTTCCTCTCCTTGTTGTCTCCTACATTCTCCTCACCTCCTCTCCTTCTCTCTTCTCTTCAATGTCTCCCATATTCTCGCCATCTCTCTTCTCCTCCCCTCTCCTCTTCGGTTTGCCTTCTCTCCTCGCTGCCTCAGCTGATCTCCACGTCTCCTCTTCATTTTCTCCTCCCCTTTCCTTCTCTCTTTTCCTCTAGTTTGACATTAAATTCTCCTAATTGGAAATGTCAGTGGTTTACATGTTGATCCTCACTAACTGTGCTTGTGCTTTGTTCTCAGACCACCATGGCTGGTTCAACACCTGCAAGACTGAAGGTGATTTTAGGAGAGAACAACATTGAAAAGCTGACTCTTCCAAATGGCATCCCAGAGTCACTTGAAGACCTTCTCAGCACGATAAAGACTACCTTTGGGTTAAAAGGTAACTTCAGACTGCAATACATGGACCAAGACTTTGGCAACGACTTATTCAATCTGAATTCTACCACCGAACTTCGGAATTTGGGGACAATCAAAGTGATCCACCAGCAAACACATCCACCTTTGATCAGTGTCGATCAGTCCACTTCATCTCTGTCTCTTTCATTTGAGTCTGATGACGGTATTTCGGTGGCATCAAATGGCACAATTATCCTCTCATCCCCTGAATCTATGTCATCTCGAACACAACAGTGGCCAGAAGACTTTGCAATTCCCCAATTTTCATATGACACAGAGCTACAGCTAGAGAGGGGGAATACTGAGTACCGTGTGAGCCAAAAAATGTTAACTTTAAGCGCCCGAATGCTGTCTGATATCCTGAAAAGAGTTGCAGAAGAAATTTACCGTTACAAGGCCTATCCAGAGGATGTACATTTCTGCGCAGCTGCAGAGGCCCTTATCAAAAAGCACCCATGTTTGAAAGAACCTGGATCATCCAATGGCTGCTACGGTTGGAAACAACGACTGAAGTACAAAATGGCAAACTACAGGACCCAGCTCAAATTACAGGGGTGTCCAGAGCTGTGTGTAAACTCACTGAAATCTAAAGCTACTACAGATGCTGTCCCTGCTAAAAAAGTGAAGAAGCCAAAACGTTCTGAAGCTAACTTTTATCCATCCTTTCCTACTGGTGAGACTCTGGACAGCATGGAAAAAGTGAGACTAGAACTTCTGACAGAGATCGGGATAAGGGACAATGAAAGGATCATCGCAAACAAAATGGCTAACACGTTTGCCTACAGACGACATGAGGTGGTAAACCAAGAACCAAGCATTCAGGAACTGAAGGATAGATGGCCTGCACTCTTCACACAGAAAGAGGTAAGAATGGAACTGAAGTGATCAAAGTCTGTATGCTTCAGGATTTATTTTGCAGTTAACTTTCATGAATCGGTCATAACTTGATGTGGTTGAGATTTTATAACACTGAACTTAATGAAAGAATTTATATTTTGAATTTCCATATATGTTATACTTTTTGGGATATAGACATTTTGGCATACAATCAGTTTCAGCATTTTGTTCCATAATACAATATCTACTGTCATTTGTGTTTTGTTTTTAGATAAATACAGAGTTCCAGAGGCTCATGGCTGTTCCTCTTGAGTGGAAGTTCATGGCCCAGTTAGACATGTACTCAAGTCAGCTGATCAAAGTCATACGTGCCAAAGGAGGGGTAACACGCCAAAAGATTGCGAACATCATGGACACATTGGACCAGGTAAATCTGTACCATCAAACAAAATACTTCGTAACTAAGAGGGCTGTCAAAATATATCTGAATCCTTCATAAAGACAATATGGGCAGGCCAATGCTAATCATGGCTTTCATATGCATGAATGGTTTTAGCGACTCAAAAAATACACCACTGAACTCATCCTTTTATTTCTGTAATGAATCTCTGGGCTTGTGAATTACTGTTTTTAAATAAAGTACATGTAAGTTAAGCAATAAGAGTAAGGATGTCTGTCTTATGAAATTTAGAGTTTAAAATTAATCCACATTTGTTGTTCTAGACTGTGGACATTAATCATCGGAGGGAATGTGTGCTGAAAGCCCTCATCATCTTCCTGGGAGAAGATGCAGATGGCCTGATCAAGGAATACCTTGTAAGTTTCAACAGTTTGTCAGCACATCTTGTCAAAGGGACACAAAAAAGTTAACTGTTAGAACAAACATAACACGTGAACCATAGTTGGATTGCTGACATGTATTTATTATCATGACCATATTGGACATTATGTAATTCCCAGCAACAACACATTACATTTTGGACTGACTTTGTTTTAAGTAAGAAGGGCTTACTTGATTATTTAAGTTCAGAGGAATAGTTTAACATGTTGGGAAATCTTATCTTTCTTGCTTTAAATTTGATTAGAGTCAGATTGATACACCTCTCTCTGCTGTTTCTGGTGTGTGATGACACCCAGCCAAGAAGTAGCCCAGCACAACACATATTGGTACTTCACCCAAACACTTAATCAAAGTAAGAAGTGAGGCTAATGATGATTTGTGTTTGTGTCTTGTACCCCTCTGTAGGACTGTGGAGCAGATGATGTTCAGAAGGACCTGGAGGAGGTCACCATGGCAGTGTATGTGATTCGGAAGGAGGGGGAGGGACTGCAGGAGCCACCTGCAGACATTGGCATTGTCATTGAGGGTGTGGAAGTGTTGCATGAACTAACTTCGGTTGCCTCAGCTTGTGCCCTGCTTCTAGGTTTGATCTATGCACTCAACCTAGCTTATCCAAAACCCTTTCGCTTCACTTTTGAAGTGCTCCAAAAAATCTTCATGCAGCTTGATCAGCACAAGATGTCCCCCAAAGTCCAAAATCTGTATATCAAACTTCAAAGCTCCCAGTAATGGCACAGAACAATGACCAACAAATGGCCTTGTGCCATAATGCGAAGGAGCAACTGTGTTTGGACATATAGCACGTAAAATATGTAGTCTCTTTTGGATGTTGGGCCTTTTTTATGCTCCAAGAGACCTCAAACCACAATTTAATGTGCTTTTATACATACTTTGTATGGTATTTTTATTTAATTTTTTTTTTCAGACATATTTGCCTTCGTTTCAAGGGAAAGGTTGCATTTCAGGTTTGATGTGCTCAGTTATACAACAAACTGTTGTGACATTCTAAAACTCTAAAGGAGTGTTTATATTTTTTCATCCCCATTGGTCAGCTACGCTGTTCAGATATTTGTTCATTGGCTATAGCTGAAGAGTAGTTTCTGTATACTCTTGGGGCACTTTTTCATAGTTGACACTATATGTGTTGATTGATATTTGTCTAATACTGTGTTGCACTTAACACTTTGATGACAACTTTGTGGTCCTACTAAGCGTTACTTGCATTTTGTGCATATGTGTTTTAAAAAGGACAAATGTGTAATGTGTTTGACCAAAAGCTGTGTTGGTTGCCATGAAGGTGATACTTTATTACATTTATACAATAAAGTATTTAAAAAAAAACATTGGATTTTGAATTTTTGAAAAATATTTTCAGCCAACTTAAATTTTTGATTTAAGCATTATTAAACAAACTAAAATTTCATTTTAGAGTCACTACAAAAAGTAATTTGCACTAAACCAAATTATTAGGTTAGCAAAGAGCAATATTTTACTTTTGGGTTATGCAAATTATTGGGTTGGAAAAACTGAAAACTTTAAGTTGAAATGTCTTAATTTTAAGTTGGATCAATGCAAAATATTTATTTGACAACAATTAATTTATTAAGTACATGTAACTTAAATCAGTTGTGTTAATCTAATGTATTAACTTCATTTCAAAGAACTTAATTAAATTAGGTGTTACCAATTGAAATAATTCAATTAAGTTGGTTCAACTATTTTCTTTTTTCAGTGTAATACCAGAAACACATTCTGTGCATGTGTGGGAGTCAGCGGAGCTTTCCCGCGAACTCAGACTATAAATCATCAGGAAAGACAAAAGAAACCTCGTTCTTTTGCCCAGGATACCTGGCGGTAAGGACACGCTTGTCGAACGCTCCGACTCCCTTGAGCACGCGGAAGTTCTAAGTGCCCAAGTTGAGCCCACGGAACTGCTGGAAACTAAACTGCAAGCCCAGCTCGTTTCTGCTCCCCTCCAGCTGATGTTTGAGGACACAGAACTGCGGAGCCCGTGGAGAAACACTCGTGGAGGTAAACAACGGAGAAAGCATCCAACCGACGGACGACGCCAAACTGCGGAGAAACACGGAGAACCGTCAAATCAAACAGCTGGGGACGCCTTGCTGTTCTGGTGATCAGAAAACTCATTTCTCTCTCTCCTCTTCTTCTCCCGTTTCCTCTATAGTCCAGAATAAGCAATAAAACCGCGCTATTGCTTAAAAAGTAGCTTCGTGTTTTCCTCTTTCGTCCCAAAAACGTCAGCCGGGTCATTTTGAAAGAATAAACTGCTTATTGATCATCGTTAATATCTTTAGTCGTCAGCCCTGGCCAGGCTGCCGACTCCTTTTAGATTAAATAATTTACAAGTGACCTTTAGTTGTTTAACTTTTGAAGTGTTGGAGTTAAGTTTTACTGTGATTCTAAGCCACTAAGTGTTCGGGAAAGTTGAAAACTTTACACATCCAGGTCTCCTGTGGAATGCGAGGGGAGGGGAAGAGCCCCACACACACTCACAGCTCACTCCACAAACACCTTGAACATTATTTTGAATATACATCCTTTTATGATATCACATGGTTATTATTCATTTATGCCACTGTTTATTCATTTGACAAATTGTTAATTAAACGTTATAAAATTCAGATTTTCGTCTACACATTTTTTTTACTGTTTGAGCATCAGAACGAGCCCCCGCGCTGAGAGAACAAACATTTCAGCCCTGAAGCCGATCTTCATCCGCATACGTCACAGATCACATGATCAGGAAGCAGACCATCCATGTGTTTGGAGATCGTTTTGGGACGTTCCTGTAAAAAAAGTGAGGCGCGAACCGGAAAAGTGTCTGCCGATCACAATTCGACAACGGATTATGAAAGAACGGATAACGCTCGAAACACGCGGCTTCTTCCTGACGTAAGAGGTGAGTCTCCTCTTTGTTTAGGTTGTTTAGGTTGTTTTGGCATCGACATCATGCTAGCGCGCAACGTTCTGTGACTCTTAAAAAAACAGTAAAAACGGTGAGAAATGCTGGCAGCGAAGGCCGTTAGCGATCAGGAAATGAGTGAATGAGTTAAGAAACGGTTGGCGGACCTCAGGATGTTTCAGATGTACCACATGTAGCTGCTCTATAGGTTCATAAAACAAACATTTTAACGTATTGAGTTGTTTTAAGATGACAGCAGTGCTGCACAAAGAGACAACTGCAACATGACTGAAACGTTACTAATGGGATCCTTTACTTCAGTCTCATTGTTCCACTTTTTCACCTGCAGAACCTTCATCAGGGTGACGCATGTGCAGGTGTGATGCCTGTCTCTTCCATCACCTGTGTATCACTTGCTTGTGTAAGATGTAAAACAGAGAAACATTCAAGACATTATGGAGATCTGTGGAACATATAGATTGAGCACGAATGAGGGGGAAGGAAAGCAGCATGTTGGGAGTGATTCTGTCACCGTGGCCAGATGTTATTTGTGCTCCAGTTTCCATTCCTCTACAGAGAGAATACACAGACAATCTGAGAAATGTGCAAGTGCCAAAACATGGCTTTGGTTGCTTTTGAGACAGAATGTCACATGTAAGGGTGTCAGAATCGGGTCTGTTTTACAACAACAGAGAAAAAAAAAAACATACCAGTGGGTTGAAATTGTGTCACATAACACAATGTGCTGTTTAATAATTACAGAAGGCCAAGAGAAGAAAAGCCATGAAACTATTCTGCTCTTCCTTTTAGATTTGTGTTTGCACTAAACATCGGAAGAACCTGGTGACTAATGTTAACTTTAAAGACCAAGTTCACTTGGTTTTTCAACGTACGTGCAGTGGTGTCTAGAATAAATGACGGCCTTGTGAGTTGAGCTCTGTGGGACAAAAAGCTCTGGCACTCCTGTTTCAGGAAGTAGAAGTAAGCGTAATCACATCAGGATTTGGTTTCTTATTTCCTGACAATCGGATATCTCTCCTCTGATTGGCTAACAGCAATGTGACTCTACCACTGACTGTTGGCTTTGCTACGCTGATGTTTTATCTCCACAAGGCCTGTGGGAATTCTGCCATATTGTGGAGTTGCTAATTCTAAGCTCTGCTCTACTAGCTGAGACGTGCTCTATTGTCTCCTGAACGCTAAACTAACAACAACCTTCCTCGTCACCAAGATGGCTGAGTCCATAAATGCTAATTTTCAATGTGATGTAGATCTGACTGGCTATTTCCAATTGCCAGGTGTTGCATTTACCACTAGGGGGCGGTATAACAGAGGAGAAAGTAAGTGAGAGAAGACATACTCAGGGAGTTAAGATGGATGCCTGATACTGCTACATGTGATGCAGGTTCGAATAAAGCTTTGGTCAAGATGGCTGCCACAGGTGATCATTGCTTTCAAAGCGGGTATAATTCAGGTAGTGGCTAAACATTTGGTGTAGTAATTGTAGAAAGACATCCACAGAAGACACTCGGAGCACTGACTGGTCCTGCACGGCCTTTGCCAAAAACATTAACCCTCAGAGTCAACCCCTTAGGCCTTGTAGCGAAATATTTCCTGACCCACTTGACAGATTTTAATGAAACTCTCAGCAGGTAATCCTTTCACTAACATCTATAAATGATTAACGTTTGGTGTCAACCCAATCAAGGATGGTCACAACAGCTAACTGATGATGGCAAAGTGCAAAAAATGGCAACAGAACTGGACGTGGCAGTAGATGGGAGTCATTCCCAACACTTAGTCTGAGTGCTAACAGATTGTACAACATCTTGACATGACTTAGTGGGATCACACATACTCGAGTCCCCAAAATGTAACCAAAGCAACAATAACTGTCACTTTTTCATGTGAAACTTTAGTCTGAAATGGTAAAAGGAGACATGCATCCCTGCAAGGGCTGTTCACGCTTAAATATCGTGGATCAAAGGCTGAAATGGCCTGAAACAAGTAGAAATCTCTGACTTCTCTCCCAAACATAACAGAGATAAACCCCATAACATCAACGTGACATCAAGTCTGGGGAAAAATATAAAAACTGTTTCTTTTGACTTGTGGAGCCAAAGAGGAAAATTCACAAGTGTTTACACAGAAAGCTAGAAAATTAGTCTGAATATGCTAAATGATCGACACTCGCTTATGAAAAAGACGTCTACTTTACTTAAACACCGACTGATCTGGGTGGAGAATAAAGCTCATTAAAGCAAAAATAAATTCAGTGAAGCCCGATGGATTGTTAATCCCTCGGAGCTGTAATTATAGTACTTTATTCAACTAAATTAAACAAAATCTTTTATGAACACGACTTTCGGAGATAACCCCCCACCACCTTTTATTATCATTAATGAGAAAAATAACGATATATGATCATGATGAAAACTGAGGTTTTTTTAAAAAGGAAACAAATGCTTTAGTTAGTATCCTGCAGCACATCAACTCTACCTGTAAACACCTCCGACCTCCGAGTTGGATCTGTGTGTGTCCTCGTTCATCCCACACGGGCTGGGTATGATGGATACACCGAGGTGTCTCTCCAGCTGGTGATCATAATGAAAATGTACCCCCCCCCCCCATTGTCTGGTTGAGCGTCGTGCATTCATGACAGGAGAATTACAAGACAAGATTATCCTTTACCAAGTTGTCCTCCAGTTTCAAGGGCTAATTCTACTTCAGGGGAGGGGGACATGACACACACGCAGAGTCACACATTCTGACCACCGCCTTGGAGATGATGAATGCGGGCCTTGCTGCAGCTTTTAGCTCCAGGGATCCAACTTGGAGACACAGAGACCCACTTTCCAGATTTTCTTTTTTTAACAGGGTAAAGTGGTAGCCGACACCACAATGAGGTCGAGACAAAGACAGGTGGTGTGCACAG